TGTACAGCACAGGGAAGCTTGTTTTCACTTCCTCCTTGTTCAGCTAGAGCTGTCAAAATCCAGTGATGGCTTCACTTATCCACCGCCGACAAGGGCTGAGAGTGACACACACACATGGAGCACAATTTCTAAATAAGTAAATGTTGGCCTCAGCAAAATATCAACACGAGGGACAATGAGAGCAGGAAGCTCAAAAACATGTGTATTCCTAACCACAGATGCCGAGCACTGCTGCCCTGATGTGCTCAGGGACGATGGTGACCAGACCCTCACTGTATTCCTCTGCCCAGTGACCCCAAGCTGAAGTCGCTGTGTTGTTTTGTGCGGCTACCACACTTTTTTTCCCCACTTGGCGCTATTGGTTTGAAGTAACACTCTGCCCATTTCTCTCCAGCTCCTTTTAATTACATGCTTCTATTCCTAGTAACCTAGAAAACATGAAGCAAACAAGCTAAATGCTATCACTAGTCACATGTACAGTTTGTTCACTGTGAACACCGAGATCGTGCTAAGAGCAGTAGACCTCACCCTTCAACTTCCTCATCCTCCCAAGCCATAATGCTCCCCAGAATTCCAGGCAGCTCCCAGAAGCTCACATGGTTCTCAATGTAAGATTTCTTGTTCAAAAACTTAAGCAACACAATTTCAGAAAACGCCCTCCATGTTCTCTCTCAGATGGCTTCCCTTCTAGACTACCAGGCTGAAGATGTTGGATCTGGTGATGGATTTTACTCTTGCTAACGCTGGATGTGGCCAGGCATTTAAGTACTCCAAACTTGTCTTTTCATTTATAGAAGATGATAAGAATAAAGCAACAGAATGACAAGCAGGCTGCACCCTCCAGGCAGGTGGAGGAGTCTGGGATCCTTAGACAGCGGGCAGCCTTCAGGAGTCAGTGAAGTGTCTGATTGAAGCAAAATAAATGCTCCTCCTCTGACCCTGAGCAAAAAATGTCTCACAGTTTTTGTGAATCACTTAAGGACTTTGTGCACCAGTGAATGACTCCATACTCATGAGTGTAAGGGCAGCACCAACTGGACTCTGGATTATTTAAAAAAAAAAAAAAAGGACCGGAAGTTGTGCTTGATTGGGGAGCTGGAGGAATCTGAGAAGAGTTAGGGCGTGAATATGATCAAAATATATTATATTATATTAATATATCATATGGAGATTTTTGGAACATTAATAAAAATGTTACATTAAAAGAAAACTTGCTTATATTAGAAAAGGCAGTTAAATGTGGCATAGACGGGGGAGGGGACTCATGAAGTCCCTTCTCTAGTTGAGGAGCTTTCACAGTTGACAGTTTTCACAGTTTCACAGCTGGGGGAAGGAGCGTCATTTTCCCCTAGGGAAGTGTCCCTCGTTAGGTTGTCCACGCTGCCGTGCTGGTCCCATACCTGTGCACTTAGAATAGCACTAATTAGCGGCTAAGGAAAGAGCACGTGACATTGGGCAGAGGGTGTGATGGGGCGGGCGGTGGTGGGGAGAACCGGAAGGAATTGGAGAGTCAAGAGTTTGAATGGTTAAGATACACTGTAGACATGTGTGACATTCTCAAAGAAGAATCATTTTAGAAATGAGAACGCTGTGCTCATCCCAAACTAAGTGTGTTATCTCAGAGACCTGTGATGCTCTTTTCTTAACTTCCCAGTTTTAGTCTAAAGCTTGGAGCTGTTAAATTACAGACTTTGAACTGGAGAATTCCCTAAGTTTTAATGTAAATGGTCCTCAGTAAGCTCAGCTTATGAACTATTAGTTAACTAGTTAACTGTTAGTTCACAATCAATTATTAGAGAATGGTCCTAGTCTTCTATTTTGTAGCTTTGCTATATTTATAGGTATGGTGATATCTTTTAAAATTTATTGTTATTGTGCATGTATACATGGTGTGGGCAAGATGCAATGGATGCATGTGGAAGTCTGAGGGTAACTGTGGGGTTTCTTCTCTCTTTCCACCTTTATGTGGGATCTGGGAACCTCAGGTTGTCAGGCTGTGTGTCGAATACCTTAACCTCTGAGCCGTCTTTCCCCGCCTGTCAATATATTCTTAATTGAGTAAATAAATGCATAATCCATGCTAGCATTCTTGTCTCCTTGAGAATACACAGATGAGCAATGCATCCAAACTCATGAGTCTGTACTCACAAAAGAACCAGTTTTGCTATCTGTAAGTTACACCGAGTAAAACTGACTTCAAGAAAAGGGGGAGGAGGAGAAATGAGTGATCAAAATGTCAAACACTCCTTAGAAACCACACAAGAAGACTGAGATGTTTCCATTGGATATGACCTTGGAGACTTTATGGTGAGCAGTGGCCATGGGCCTGGGGAGGCAGAAGCCAGAATGGTAAGGCTTGAGACATGGGTCAACCAATGATTGGTGGTTGCCTTTCAATATCTGGTTTTCTCTTTCCTGGGAGTACACAATCCCTAATTTGGGCTGTGTTCTTGGCTGTGCTGAATGAGGTCTGCTTTGCCCAATCTCTCTGGAGACTTAGTTGTGACACCATGTGACTGAACTGTGACAAAGAGGTATGAGTGGAAGAATTCTGAGAGCCTTCCTGGGAGGTAGCTGGCGCATGTCCTCGGCCTCTGTGAGGGCTGAAATGCAGACATCAAGACTGGAGTTGGTGAGGCCAAGTCGGACTATGAAATGATTTCAGGAAGGAAGTCCACATGGAACAGCAAATTTTTGAAGGATCCTGGACCTTTTAGCCTTTTGAAAACACTTGGTAAGTTATCCCAGAACTGCTTATCTCTGAATTTTTAAGAGTAGAAGACAGTGGGGAGAGGAGATGGCGCAGTTGGTCAAGTACTTCAAGGCAAGCAGGAGGACTAGAGTTTGGGTCCCCAGCAGCCACGAAAAGGAGGATGATGGAGCAGCCCTGATTTCCAACCCCGGTGGTGGGAAAGCAGAGGGGCCAATTTTTGGAGCCTTCTGGCCACCTGGCCTCACCAATCAGTGAGCTTCGGGTTCAGGGAGATGTTGCCTCAAAAAAGTTAAGTGGAGAGTAACTGAGGAAAATGCCTAGTATCAACTTCTGGCCTCTATAAACGTGTAGGCATGCGAGTGTAGACACACCCACGGGGAGCAGGAGACCAATAGTTCTTCTGTATAAGCCTCTTGATGAGGCTCAAATCTACCAGTTCTGTGACAGAGAGGAGACAGGAAATGGTGGGTGTCCAGCTGGCGAATATGGAGAACAATAAAAGGGAAGTGTCAAGGTAGGATGGCAGGTGGGGAGGCATTCGAGTGACAAAAGGCTTTGATAAATTCCAAACTGACACCAGAGTCTCCACGGCTTCAAGGGGACAGAGAGCTTCCGTGGAAAGAGGCTCCATGAACAGTCACTGACTCTGACTCCCGGGCTCACTCTCCAGAGGAAAAGCAGGAGCCTCCATTGCAGTTACAGCTCAATCCTGGCTCTCTTGTCCTTATGATGTGTGGGGCTCTTGGCAACCCACAGCCCTCACTTGATGCTGGCTCCTGCTGACCGCCTGTCTGTGTCCTCTGTCCTTTCCAGTCTGGCAGAGACTTTCCTTAGTGCCTGGCCAGGCAGGTCACTCAACCTTTTGTTTGTTTGTTTGTTTATTTTTGAGGCAGACCCTTATCTCACTCTGTAGCCCAAGTTAACCTTGAGAACCTGCCCTTCTTCCTTCTCTGCCTACCCCGTCAAGGGGTGAGATTACAGGGGTGCCTAACTACACCCAGCTAGACCTTTAAAAACATGTAGTAAGTTACCAAGAAAATCACTTCGAAGAAAAAAAAAATCAGTGATTTTTGGATTACTCACAGAGTTTTGCAAACATCACAAATTAACTTGAGATGATCAGACACAGCACGTTCTGACCAAAAATTATGATTCACATGTGCACATGTCTTGTGTATGTATCCGTGGGTAAATGGGCACGGCAGGATGTGAAAGTCAGAGGACAACTAGACGGAACTGCTTCTCTCCTTGCACCTCGATCAAACTCAGGTCTCCCGGTTTGCCATGACAAGCACCTCTACTCGCTGAACAATCTCTCTGGCCTTATTTGTTTATTTAATAGTAACATTTTCAGCCATGTTTTTTTCTTTCTGTGCACTGTCTTTCTCCTTCAGCCTGGAGCTGGGCTAGGGCAGGGACTGAAGCCTTTGCCTGGGCAGTACTCAGCAGCCCCGCAAAGAGGTGGACCAGGCAATACACGGAGACCCTGAAGCCTGCCCCACTTGTTCCTCGCAGTGGGTGAGGAGCCTGCTGGTAGAGAACTCTTCCAGTGGGCGTAAGCAGAGAATTCTTGACTTCAGGGAGCTTATTGCCACAGGGTGGGGCTGAGGTCATTTGGAAAATCATATTCAATTGTAACTCTTCAAGAAAACAGATCTGGGACATCTGAAGAATATCTACCTGGCAGGCAGGAAATCGGAGACTATGGTGTGACACCAAGAAGGGCGTGGGGTCGCCCAAGTGGAAACACCGCATGAACTTGCCCAGCGCAGCTGGAGTTTTCCTGTTACCTCCGGCAGATGCGGGCTGTGCTGGCATAATGGCGTTTCGCGGTCCCAGACAAACCCGGCTGAGGGCAACGCTTGCTATTTTGCAGAGGCCAGGAGCCTCCTGCAACTTCTAGGTGGCGACAGCGCCTACCTTGCCAAGGACTCCATCGTTTCCCTACGCTCCCTAGGCCGTGCCACCCGCCGCCACCGCCCCTTGCCCCCTCCCACGCTTCTCCCGGAGCTCTGCGTGGCGCCGCCTTGGGTCCCAGGGGAGTCGCGAGCGCACCTGGAGCCTCGGGCGCCCTGGGGACTAGGGCGTGAGGTGGCCGCCTCGCCCGGTGCACAGCTGGTGGCGCGCTCCCTCCCGGATCCCCTTAAGTAAAGAGGCTCGGTCTAGCGCCCAGCGAATAACGTTATCCAATTGCTTCCCGTTTTATTCACAGGCTGGGAGCTGCGAGAGCCAGAGCGTTCCCTCGCCAGTGCTCCAGGGGAGGAGGGAGGCGGGCGGGGACCAGGGGACGGCTTGGCTGCTCCACCTTGCGAGAGGCCAGAGCGCCCCGGCCCCGGCAGAGGCCAGCAGCGCCTGGAGCCCCGCAGCAGTGCGCCGGGCCGCCCAGATCCCCGCGATGGAGTGAGTATCCCCGCGCCGTGCGCCGCTCTGTGCCTCCCTGGGCATGTTGCCATGGTGACCGATCCCCGCTCATCTCCGTCCAGCCTGGGTGTTTAATTTCAGTCCACTGTGTTCCTCTTGCTGTTTCTATAGCAGCCGCTGCGGAGTGGGTATCGACAGCCCTGAGCTGCGGGGATTTGTGCCACTGTCTTGGGGATACATGAGGGGTCATGTTGCTAAGGAGCCAGATCTGTTTTAAGCTTCTCTGGGTCCCTGCCCCCGACCTTGTCCGTCTTGGGGAGTTGGCCGCAATAGCCATTACTTCCGATTCCTAACCATGTCAGCATTATTGGACTGCAGTTAAGAGGTGTGTGTGCGTGTGCGTGTAGGGGGGGTGTCACTGCGGATCCGAAGCAAATGTGATTCCATAGGAAGGGTGTGATGGAAGGATGATGAGTTGTGGGAGATATGAGCCAGAACTGGCTACTAGAAGCTACTGGAGGACCCCAAAATAATTAATTAGCTCCTGGGGTAATCGGAGAAATGAGACAGAAATGTCCTAGCAGCAGTCTGAGGTTCAATGACAATGTTGGGCATCACCCGCATTGCATGGGAGGGTGGGGAAAAGACGGCATGAAGACAAGGGAGGCGGTAACCAGAAAAAGACACAGTGAGGGCTCCGGGTGTGGACCCAGCCTAGGGTCGCTGCCTCTCTCCACGTTCCTGGTCACTCTCCCGGGCTGATACTGCAGCAAGGTCCCTGTGACAGGCGTCAGCCTGCCGCTCCATGAAAGCCAGCAATTACATCTTTGCTCACTTGGTCCGCTTCTCCCTCTCGCTCCCTTCCCACGGATACTCACTGACTTTGAGGTCGTATGAAATCATATTTCAGGTTGGAGATAATGTTATGTTTTCAGATACCAGGGCCTCCATGCCAAACCCCAAAACTCTAGATTCAGCCTTTATGCTTCTGCATAGCCAATTGTGTAGATGCAATTTACTCCTCACCCAGTGGAAAGGAGGAGCGAGAGATGATGTGGCCGGCAGGAGTGAGGGACTGTAGAATTCTTTGGCTGGCAGCAGCAGTGTTGATTTCCCACGCCAGGCCAGTGTCTGAATGCCTGTGAGCCTCGGTTTCCCCAGTTGCACATGGGGAAAAGATGGTCTTTATTACTTAGTGTTACTGAGAGGATCAGATAATATTTGCTTCTCTTCTAAAGTGCTTTATTAATTGTAAAAACAGATAGGGGAATTAGACATTAACAGCTGGTCTCCAGAGTCAGGTTGTCTGGGACTTAGTCCTTTGACACATTGCTGAATAATGTCAATCTCTCTGGGTTTCATTTTCCCCTCCTGGAAAATGGAATAATAATAGTAGCTATTTTGAGTGGTTTTTTTTTTTTTAGTAAAAATTAAGCAATTGATATACATATATAAATACCTATGTGTTAATTCACACACACACACACACACACACACACACACACACACACACACACACACACACACATCTTAGAACAGACCTGGAACAAAGTATGCTTAATAAGTATCACCTAATGTTTATAATTAGTATCTGTCATTTATTATCATTGTCATAGTCTGCAGCCTTCTCTGTTGACAGTTTATGGGGTATTAGGTTGGTAGAAAGCCGGTTTTGGGGGCAGTTTTCATAATTTAAAATATTTATTTACTTATTTTGTGTGTGCACGTGCCCCAACATGGGCGTGGAGGTCAGAGGGCAGCTTGTGAGAGTTCACTCTCTCTTCGAACTGTGTGGATCCTGGGTCATTAGGCTTGGTAGCAAGTGCCTTTACCAGCTAGGTGGCTCTCCAGACCACAGATAATTGTAAAGATACACAATGTCCTGAGGGCAACAGAGCCTACCGCAGTCCCCATGACGACATTGTAGGAGTGAGGATTTGGGCAAGCTTCTGGGACTCAGTACAGTCACTGGGCCCCTTGGCCTCTGGAGTTCTTCATCCCCATTGGCCACATTTTTCACTATGGAGACTGCCCTTTACCAGAGATTGAATGCTGGCCCAGCTGTCTCTTGTGTAGGGTCAACAGCAGCCTGGTTTTGTTTTGCGGATGAGGAATGATGATTTTCATCCCCACACTAATGTATTTCCCCTAGATGTGGCATCCGGACTCCATAACTGTGGCACAGAGCCTCTAGGACACCCCTGTTTCCTCCTGGTCTTAGCTGTGGTTGGTGCCAGGTGTGCCTACCTATGCCCTCCTCTCTCTCCTTTCCAGTATATACATGTCCTTCTACTCTGGTCAGCCTGACCTTGGCCTTTTCACCCCCTGTGACATTTGAAAGTGCGCTGTACCTTCCGGTGAACCTGCTTAATTTCCCACTGTCTGTCTGCCACACTTCATCCACTTCCTTAATGCAATTAGTTTCCCACTTTTTTCTTTCCTTCACAATACTACACTTTCTGTCTGTCCACGGGTCTAACAAAATTTCTCAAATATCAAGCCTTGCACTTCTGCCAATGGAATCCCACCCGTTCATCTCATTCTACGTAGCCAGGTTGCTTTGAATATGAGTGAGATATAGTTTTGGTTCCCTTCACTTATTGTGTCCAACTTGTATTTATGAAAATTTAATTAAAAGAGGGAATGAATTTGAATTGGCTTTTTCATTTAATCAGTGGGTATTTGTGGAGATTAGCAGTGGTTGATAAAACAGTCATGTTTCTCATGGCACAGAGTTCAAAATCTAATAAGGGCAGATGCTAGCCCAGTAAGCACAGGAGCCATGTGATGCAAAGTGTGACACACACCATGAGACAGGACACAGAAGAAGCGATAGGAAGAGCGTGGGGGTTGGATCAGCTCGTCAGTGGAGCCCCCTTGGGAAACTGATACTTAACCCGAGGTCTAAACGATGAGTAGGAGTTGCTGAGTTAGACGTGACGGGAAGAAGCACCTGGAGCCGTGGAAGTGGCATGTGCTAAGGTCCGGAGGCAGGAGCCATCTTGTCAAGTTGGGAGAACTGAAAGAAAGGGGGTGTGCCTGGAGCTTTAAAGAATGAGCGGAAGACGCTCCAGGGATGAGGCTGGAGTGTGTGTGTGTGTGTGTGTGTGTGTGTGTGTGTGTGTGTGTGTGTGAGTGAGTGTGTGTATGAGGGTGTGAGTGTGAGCATGTGCGTTAGGGTGTATGTGTGTGAGTTTGTGTGAGCATTTGTTTGAGAGTGTGTGAATACATGTGTGTGTGTTTCTCTTCTGTTGTGATTAAAAATATGCTGACCAAAATGACTTACGTGAGAAAGGGCTTATTTTGGCAGGTGGTTTCAGCCAGGGCCTAACTACTGTGGCAGGGGAGGCATGAGATCAGCCTGTCACATTGCATCTGTACCTAGAAGCAGAGTGAGAAGAGCAGTTTGGGCCAGGCTATACACCCTCAAAGCCTGCCCTAGTGATGGACTTCCTCTAAGGTTCCACCTCCTAAAGGTTCCATAACCTTCCCAAACAGTGCCACCACCTGGTGACCAAGTGTTCAAACACATGAGCCGGTAAGGGGCATTTCACATTCAAACCACATCATGGAAGGTCACGAAGTAGTAGATACTTCACGAGGACTTCAGATTTCACCGTGAGTGTTTTAGGGGTCTCCATAAATGATGATAAAACAAGTCTAAACATTCTATAAAAACCCCTTAACTGTTTCCCTCGCTTTTTCTTCTAAAGTTACTTGAAGCAGGTGACTTAGAAACTGTCCTAGCCAAGTCTCTGAAAGCTGTGTCTGCCCTAAGGGAAGGGCAATCAATTTAAAAATATGGCTGACTGTGTGCCAGAGTCTGACAGTCTTGAACCAGCCAAGGTTGTCAAACAAAATGAAACTATACGTAACCAAAAAAAGGTACTCATTTATTTGTGAGGGTTACTGGTTTTGATCAAATAAGAGCTTCTTCATTTGGATAAGGAAAGCCTCCTCAGGAACTGAGCAAAGAGGGTAGCTAATCACTGAGTTTAGAATATGCCTTGCTGGGATACTCTCTTCAGGATGTGTAGATCTGAGAAGCTCCACTGTGGAAGAGCGGAGACAGGGATGGGGTGGTCTGTGCAGTGCCAGCGCTCTGGTGCAGTACCATGTGTCAAACTGCAGCTCCTTGGCTGTGGTTCTCAGTGGCTTGAGGGTGAGATGGATGTGGCTGGGAGGACACACTTTGGTTCTCCCACTTACTAATTTGATGCCACTCCGGAAGCTTTGCCTCACACTCCTCTGGAGCAGTCTACAAAACAGTGTGGGATCAGAAAGGCATGAAGACATACAACGTGGGAATTCGTCAAACTGTTGCCATCTCTGCAAACACTGGGGCTCCCGTGGAGCCCGTGGCAGCCTCGGAGCCCAACTGACGTTTCCATTCACCCAGACAGAGGCCTGATTTTCACACGGCCTGTGAGGCAAGTTCAAACCACTCAGAGGAGATCATAAAGGAGCTGAACCTGGTGGTGGTGGTGGGGTTATGGAATGAGACACCATCTTACTATTTTGCCCAGGCTGACCAAGAACTCACTGTACAGCACAGCCTAGTCTCGGACCCACAGTTTTCCTGCTCTCACCTCTTGAGCTCTGTAATCACAAATGGGCACCACCACACTTGGCTCAAAGTTAGGTTTTGCAAATGAACAGATCCAGGCCCACCAAGGTGTAAGTGTGGTGGGGGCATGGAATCCCAAGCTCAGGACCAGCACCCATGCCTTCATTCATTCGTGCAACCAATTCATCTACTTCACAAGCTGTTGCTTAATGTTTTCTATGGGTCAGTGCTGGGAGAGGTAAAGTGGTATAAATGGTGACTAGACATCCTTGGCCCAGTCTTCAAGGAGTTCCCGGGATAGGCTGTGTGTGACCACAGATGCCGTATAATGTTGGGAGGTTTCGCGTTGCTAATCCTGCCTTCTGTGCAATGTCCTGGGCTCAGTCCATTATGAGCATTAATCATGTTTCATAATGTGTGGGAGCTCAACGGTATAGTGCCCATGCTTCGCATGCACAAAACCCCAGGTTTG